TAGAAAGCATCAGGATCCATTCGTCTCTGCGGGCAATCATAAATACACTCATGGCCCCTACGGGGGTGAAGGGCCACCCCAAACCAACCCTTATGAGGAAGTGGTCTGATTATGGCACTGGTTCACAAACAGCTGCACTAATCGTATCAAGCCCTGCGCAAAAGATCAAATCTAGCATGTGGCCTGCTTCATGCATGGAAGTCAATGCAATCTGGGAGAGTCCCAATGTTGCCATGGCAGCCACAAAGTCCGAGGCTGCACCAAGTACAGAAGCCTCTGAATGGACGTTGGAGTCACCCAAGACCAACAGTTTAGGGAAATGCAGCGTTCACTCAGTTGCTGCCTCTGAACTTCAGAAGGAAGTCTTCTGGCAAGCTGGGTGAACGGTACACCAGCAGGACTCCAACACTCTCCCTGACACCACAAGCCAGGCCAACACATTCAAGTCCAGTGATGATTGGTACAGGGATCCTCTGGAAGGGGAAAAGTCTCAGATGAGGATCGCCACCCCATCCCTCAGTTTGATGCTGATGGAGGATCAGGTATCCTGGGAGAGTAAGCTGGGTGAGGGGAACTACCTCGTCCTCACCCACCTAGGTCTCAGGCAAGCACACCTGGTCAAAGCATCCCTCCAGGATAGTCTCCTGGAGAACTGTGGTCTTATTTCTTACTGGCCTGGCATTGCACAGCATCAGGGTCAAAGAAGGGAATTAACTGGGCCTGCACGCTGTCGTTCCTTGGGATGGGACAGAGATCCAGAGGGGTCCAAGCATTTCCATATCTTGTCACCCTCTGTGAAACAAATCTCCTCCCACCACCCTCATGCCTCCCTCCTTCCCATCTTACAGAAATAGCCCAGCCAGCAGGACACAAAACACAGGCCGCAAGGAAGCACTCCTTGGACACCTGTTTGTTCCCCCACCCAGGGTTCCAAGACAACTGAAGTAATTGTCAATTGGACCTCTCTGTTCTATCCAAATTCCCTGCTGAATCCACAAAAATACATCCTTGATGTGGGTTGGGGGAGCTATCCGCTACATTCTGTGTCAAAGGCCTTGTTGCTCCCAATTCAAATTTCACCAAAAAACCCCGCAAAAGCAAACTATACTTTTTATGGCCTTCTTTGCAATGTTTCATCAATGGACACATGCCTATCAGCAGCACTGAGGAAAAATGGGCCCAGCAAACGTGGCGCTGGTGAGTGGGCCCCATTTGGCATTCCTCTCCCTGCAGGCTTTAGCTAATGGTTTGCATCTGGCGCAAATGAGAGCGCTGCTCTGTGGCACTTCCTCTCCCTGGTTTGGAGACCGTCCCAGAGCTTCGGAGCTCAGCACTGTGGCTTGCAACGGCAGGATGACATGTGGGGGAAAGAACGGATGGAGCCATGCAAAATTGCACCTTTGGGTTTCTCTCTGGCCCTGCACATCTGGGCAAAGATGAAACCCAGACAGCAGGAAATCTCTGTAGCTCATCATGAGTAAAATTATGGGCTGTGAGCATCTTTCCGCTCCTGGCCACTGTTGTGTGTTGCTGTTGGCCCAGCTGAGGCTCCTCTTCATTTGAGGGCAGCTTCCAATGATGAAAGTGAATCAAGTCCATTTTTGTCTCCCAGTCCCATGATGCTTGCAGGCATTGAATGGGATTTGTTGGCAGTAAGGTCAGGACAGACAACTGCCAGTGGTGGTAGCAACGGCTGGTAGTTTAAATGAGGCCGATGCAGGAGGAGAGGTCCATTAATGGCTGTTAGCCACGACACCTAAATGGAACCCTCATTATCAGAGGCAGTGACCTTCTGAATAGTAGTGCAGGGGACAACAATAGGGAGAAACTTTGGCCTCTGCGCCCTGCTGGTAGGTATTCTGGTGGCATCTGGCCACTGGCAGGAAGCAGCATGCTGGATTAGACAGGCTGCCATGGTTGCTCTTGTGGGCACAGGGTTGGATCCCATGGTTCCCTTCTTCCCAGCTGAAAAAGACTTCCTTCACCAAAGAAACACTTTTCTTCATGAGAGACTTTCTCCATCAGAAGAAGTTACTTTCCATTGGAAGAAGTCATTGGAAGATTCAAAGGAAGGGGGTCACAGCCTCCAGATTTGCAGAAGGAATGACAGGATCCAACCCACATTCTTCATGTGGAAATCACTGCATGAAGCAAATGTTAAAATACTCCCCTTCTTGCCCTGTCCTGTTGTGGGCTACAAGAGAAGCTGCCTGCTTCTCTGTCCATGAATCTCAGCAGTTGGTGCTCAAAGACAGTTGGGTTACAGCTGTGGACCGCAGAGGTCCAGGGGAGCACGAAGCTGCTCTTTATTGCTGCTACAATTCTCTCAGATAAACATAATAGAATTCATTTTGCTCCCAGCTCATTTTCTGTTGGAGTCAACCCCCCCCCCAAGTGTGCACAGGATGCAGCTTTGTTAAAATGGGAGCTGTTCTTTCTTCGTTCATCTCAGAATAAGCTTGTGAGCATTTACTGGGGTGTGTGTGTCTTATTGAACTCAGTGTCGGAAAATTTGGTAAAAATAGTTAGATATTCAGAGCTTGCAATGGATCTTTCTTCACTGGAGAGGAGGCATTTTCTTTCTATGTAAAAATCTTTATTTCTAAAGGGAAGGGTACACGGGAAACCTACAAAACAACAAACACTTAAGACTACATCCTTGCTGTTACAAGTACAACAACAGACCGACTGACCGCACAGTTAGTAATGGAGATTCTTCTTTCTTCTTGACCTTAGAAGGAAATCACCTGAATACATTAACCAGTGATTGTTAATAAATAGGCTCTAGTTGGCTTTCTCCCCACTGGCTTTGTTTCAAGTTCCATTCCAGGTCAGTCTAAACAATAGCACACAAGGTAACATAAGAACATAAGAGAAGCCAATGTTGGATCAGGCCAATGGCCCATCCAGTCTAACACTCTGTCACACAGTGGCCAAAAATACCAGGTGCCATCAGGAGGTCCAGCAGTGGCGCCAGGAAACTAGAAGCCCTCCCACTGTTGCCCCCTCCCCCCAAGCACCAAGAATACAGAGCATCATTTGCCCCAGAGTCCCTATCTATACCTTGTGGCTAATAGCCCCCAATGGACCTCTGCTCCATATGTTTATCTAATTCCCTCTTGACGCCGTCCATGCTTGTAGCCGCCGCCACCTCCTGTGGCAGTGAATTCCATGTGTGAATCACTCTTCGGGTGAAGAAGTATTTCCTTTTATCTGTTCTAACCTGACCACTCAGCAATTTCATTGAGTGCCCATGAGTTCTTGTATTGTGAGAAAGGGAGAAAAGTACCTCTTTTTTTCTGCTCTATCCCATGCATAATCTTATAAACCTCGATCATGTCACCCCTCAGCCGTCATTTCTCCAAGCTAAAGAGCCCCAAGCACTTTAACCTTTCTTCATAGGAAAAGTGTTCCAACCCTTTTATCATTCTAGTTGCCCTTTTCTGCACTTTCCCCAAAGCTATAATATCCTTTTTAAGGTATGGTGACCAGAACTGTACACAGTATTCTAAATGAGGTTGCACCATTGATTTATATAAACACATAATAATGATAATAGATAAACACATTAACCCTATAAGGACTGAATTTAGACCTTACAACACATATTTCCAACACTCAGCAAGCTTACTTTTCCCTGGAAGAAAATGTTGGGATAAAATAGGGATTGTACTTTCTCAGAACCAGTGTGTTGTAGTGGTTAGTGTGTTGGGTGGCCCATTTGGGAGGGCCCATGTTTGAATCCCCGCTCTGCCATGGACGCTTGCTGAGTGTGACCTTGGGCCTAGTCACACACTCTCAGCCTAACCCTACCTGAGAAGGTTGAGGTGAGGATAAAATGAAGGAGAGGAGAATGTAGTAAGCCGCTTTGGGTCCCCAGTGGAGAAAAAGGTGGGGTACCAGAAAATATGGACCGCCTTCAGCAATGCTCCCTCTAAGCAGTGGAGGCTTGTGAGCAAAAATTCTACTTTGTGAGCTACTGGCATTAAGGTTGTGAGTGGGCGATTCGGCTACTGCATAAATTAGTTGGCTCTGGAGCCCTCCTTCCTGAGCTAAGGCAAAAATGTCTGAGCCAAAGGTTAAAAAACTGTGAGCTAGCTCACACTCACTCAGCTTAGAGGGAACACTGGTCTTCAGTAAACGGACAGTTGGAGTGCCTGGGTGTGTATGCCAAATACCTTTTTGAGCCTGTGAGCCCCTTTGGAATTCTGACAGAGGGGTGATGGGCACAGCCGCAAAATGGCTGCCACAGGAGGCAGAGCTGGCCACAAAATGGCTGCTGTAGCTGACCTGCCGTCATACAGTGAAGGTCCTTGCACTGTGGAGGCGACTGCTGCCAAAGCAACATTTTTTTAAAATCTGCACAGCGAATGCAGTGGCCAATCAGAAGCCCTACTGGGCAAAAGCCCACTTGACTCTGTCCCCTTTCCAAAACACTCAGGAGGGGCCAGGGAAGGGTATTGGCCAGTGCCATGGTCCCACAGGCCAAAGAAGTCATAATGATTCTCCAAGACAACTTTCACATCCTGAGCAAGATTCGAGTCCAGTCACCAGTTAAAGACTGGGAAGATTTCCAGGGTATAAGCCTTTGAGGGTCAAAGGTCCATCACAGGGAGCTTCGACTCTCAGAAGCTTATACCCTGGACCATCTTGTTGGTCTTCAAGGTGCGACTGGACTCAGATCTTGCCCTTCTCCTGCAGACCAACCCGTCCATCCACCTGAAACATTCATATCCTGCTCCACCCTCCTTAACATGCCGATGGACTTGTTTTCCCTTTGGCTGGCATGCCCAGCCATAAGCCACAGCTGCCTCTTGGAGCTGGCTCCCTTCCTCCCCAGCAGATGGGCTCCAAAATAGATCTGGCAGCCGCCTCGGTGACCTGCTGCTCCTGTGGTTACAGCAAACAGGAGAGGGATTTGAGCGTTGCCCCCGGCTTGCCAAACCACGGGTTTCTAGAAAGATATAAATGGTGAGCAGAATTTCAGGAGGGGGAACAGGAACGACCAGCCAAACGAGCCAGCATCTTCAGACCTGCCGAGAAGATCCACTTGCGAGCACCAGCCAGCATGCGTACGCTAACTCTGGTGTGCCTGTTGGCGGCAGTGACGCTGTGCCTTTGCCACGGAGGTAAGAGGAGGTGCAGGAGTCATCACATTTCTAGGTTTGGGATAATCTGCGGGGCTGCTGATGCCATCAGATTCTTGTGCACATTGCTGCCTTTTCTTCTCAAGTCTGTGCAGAGAGGCCATGGCTCTGTGGAAGGGCACCTGCCTTGCATGCAGAAAGTCCTGGGTTCGGTCCCCAGCACCTCCAGTTTAAAAGATCTCGGGGAACAGGAACCATACTATGTGTCTTGAAGACACCCCTACCCCCCTGCATGTCAGAGCTTAGGTGGATCAATGGTCAGATTCGGCATAAGGCTGCTTCGTATGTCCAGGACCGTACCTGTGCATATGAAGGAGGGGGTAGCTGGCACAATCCACAGGTTGTTCACGCAATCCTATGAACAGCTTCCTGGGAGTAAATCCTATTAAATATATCTGAGTAGACCTGTGGAAGGTCAGTGAGCTCCCGTCTCTAGTTCCAGCTCCTGCCAACCTAGCAGTTCGAGAGCAAGAAATTGCAAGTAGATAAATAGGTACCACTTCGGTGGGAAGGTAATAGCGTTCCGTGCGCCTTGGTGTTTAGTCATGCCGGCCACATGACCACAGAAACTTCTTTAGACAGCGCTGGCTCTTCGGCTTTGAAACGGAGATGAGCACCGCAACCCTAGAGTCGGATTCGACTGGCTTTCGAGCAAGGGAACCTTTACCTTTTTAGACCTGTTTAGGATTGTTCTCAAAATCTCAGACTGGTCTCGCTTTCCTGTCCAAAGGCTGTCCCTCATTCCCGATTCTTCCACTTATTCTTCCCAGTCTTGACCCACCTCTTCTGCTGCAATTCCAGCAGGCATCGGCCCCGACCCTTGCTTCTAAACCTATCCTCAGAGTCACGAGGGCTAGTGATATAGCTAAGGGACACATCTAAGGGACCACCTCTCCCTAGATGTGCCTGGGAGAGCCTTGCGCTCTATGGAGAACCGTCTGTGGGTTATTCCCGGCCTGAAAGACGTTCGCCTAGCCTCGACCAGGGCCATGGCTTTTTCGGCCCTGGCCCCGGCCTGGTGGAACACGCTCCCAAACGAGATCAGGGCCCTGTGGGACCTAGTACAGTTCTGCAAGGCCTGCAAAACGGAGCTCTTCTGCCAGGTTGAGGCAGTGGGCGTCTACCAGCCGGCCTCCCTGTTGCCATGGCAGCAAGCTACTATTAAGGAGACCTTTATGGCTCGGCTTCAGCCCATTCATTCCCGGCCGTAGGAACTGAAATTGAAATCGCTGCACTGCCCACTATTAACTGTTTTTAACTGTTTTTTTATTGTATTGATTTAATATTTGATATTTATCAACTGAATTGTTTTAAGATTGTATTGGAATCTATTGTTGTGACCCATCTGGAGCCCACTTGCGGGAAGGGCGGGATATAAATCGAAATAATAAAATAAAATAAATTATATATATATTAAGTAAAGAGATTCCCAGCACGCTGGAATCCAGATCTAGTACTCAAACTGGTAGGTTTGCCAACTCTGAGTTAGGAAATACCTGGAGATTTTGGAGGAGGACCCCGGGGAGGGCAGGGTTTGGGGAGGGGAGGCACTCCAGCAGGGTACCATGCCATAGAGTCCATCCTCCAAAGCGGCCGTTTTCTCCAGAGGAGCTGATCTGGGTCACCTGGAGATCAATTGCAGCAGCAGGCAACCCTGCCCCCTGCCTATTCACGTGGTGTACCTGCTGCCAGTGTTCCCTCTAAGCTGAGTTAGTGTGAGCTAGCTCACAGTTTTTTAGCCTCCGGCTCACACATTTTTGTCTTAGCTCAGGAAAGATGGCTCCAGAGCAAACTAATTTTATGCAGCAGCCAAACTACCTGCTCACAACTTTAATGCCAGTAGCTCACAAAGTAGAATTTCTGCTCACGGGACTCCACAGCTTAGAGGGAACATTGCGCTGCTGCCCTTCTTTTAAATCACAACATGGATTGGGATTGTTACATTCTTGTTTGTTTCTCTTTTCTGCAGACGACTGGGCTCACTCCAACGACTCGCCCAGCTCTGAAGGTCAGTGGTCTCCCCGGTACCATTGTCTTGCTTCTAAGAAAGTGGGGGGAATGCTTGAAAAAGATTTGCTCACTCTGAGGCTGCTGCTGTCTCTCCCCAGAAGCCCAGCAGAGGGCTCTAAAAGGCAATTAGAGAAACTGGCGGTCTATCAGTTAGCCCCACTGGCCAAATGGAACCTTCGGTTTCGGAGGTAGTCAGTTCGAATGCCAGATGCTGGGGAGGAGACCAAGGGAGAGGGGCTAAGGCTTTCATGCCCTGCTTGTGGTGGACTTCTCTGAGGGATCTGGTGGGCCACTGCAGACACAGGATGCTGGGCTAGATGGTCCTTCAGCACTCTCCTGCTGTTCGTGCTGCAAAAGGTCACATCCTTCTGGTATCCTTGTCTAACCCCACCTGCGCTGGGCTCCCAGTTTACATTCTGGAGTGAGTGTGCTGAGTTTCTGCCCCCGAAATCTCACATTCAGTGGCCTGAGATGCCAAATTTTGTACTGGCAAAGAATTCAAGTAAAAAAACTGTTGCAAAATTAAGGAGGGTTGTACTATTCCTTGGCAGAAAATCAGAAGGTGTTCCAGTTAATTACTCTCAGCGTCCCACAGTTAAGAAGGGTACATCTGCCCATTGATCTCCAATTGTGAAATATTTATTTCCTTCGCTATGTGCCCCCCCCCCCCCGGGAATTAAACCCAAACAAATGGTGACCGTATAAACTAAGCCTGTTTTCCCAGTTTGGTCCTTGCATCTGTTAAACACCTTTATTCTGCTGTAGGCTAATTTGCTGCTCACTACCTATATGTATGGACTGGCAACTTCCATTTCAATGTATCCCAAGAAGTGTGCGTGCACACGAAAGCTTATACCTGGAATAAAACACTGTTGGTCTTAAAGGTGCCGCTGGGCTTGACTTTTGTTCTCTCGTTATCTTTGTGAGGAGAAATTAAAATAGCGACTGCCTCAGTCACAAAGAGATAAAAGTAAGGCCAAAGCCAATGGTACAAGTAAAGGGGAAAAGATATTTTGTTACTCCACTCAAATTCCCTATGAATTTTGCCAACAGGCTTCTTCAGGGGAATCTGTAATATACTATACAAATACGATCCTGAGTTCTCATGGTTATCTAACAGTGGTTATTTAGTTAAAATTATGTAAGTAAATAAATATTTGCTTGAAAACCAGATTGCAATTTGTACAATTTAATATCAACCCAATAACAAGCCGTTAAGTATATAACCGCTAAGAAATTATTCTGTCCTTATGATTGTGTGAAGGAGAACAGGGGGGGGGGGAGGAACCTCCCCATGCGTAAGACCGAGAAGACAGAAAGACTGTCCAGCACCCAACCGATTTGGCTCAATTTTAAAAGAATCTTTCTTCTGCCTAGATGAATGTTACAAACCTGGTAGACATTCACTGTTCCTTCAACAAGAGTACAAGATCTGTAGCTATTACCAAATGGAAGGACCATTTAGAATATATCAGTATTTAGATGATGCAATACCTCTGTTTAACATTTTACACATACAATTCCAGAGACAAATTTAACTGTTTAGGGGCCAGGGTCTGGAGTCTCATAATCCATTCTGCTTCTTTGTTCAGCAGTAGTCTCTGATTTTGACAAGTTAATGTTTACTTGCTTGGTGTAGTGGTTAAGTGTGAGGACTCTAATCTGGGAGAACCGGGTTTGATTCCCCACTCCTCCACTTGCACCTGCTGGATGACCTTAGGCAAGCCGTAGTTCTGATAAGAGCTGTCCTTGAAAAAGAGCAGTTTCTGTTAGAGCTCTCTCAGCCCCACCTACCTCACAGGGTGCCTGTTGTGGGGAGGGGGAGGGAAAGGAGTTTGTAAGCCGCTCTGAGACTCCAAGTGAAGGGCGGGGTGTAAATCTAATCACTTCTTCTCTTCTTCTTCTTCTACATCACACAAAAAGGAAAGTCAGGGGGATCATGATTATTTTCAGTAAAGGGTTTAGCCAGTGGAGCACTTGTTTTCTTCAGTTTAATATTACTTTTACATTCTTCTATGTGTATTCTTAGATTCCTTGTTGTTTTTCCAAAATAAAGTGTATTACAGGGGCATTGGATTTTATATATGTGATATATAACTATGAAATTGAGCCAACTTCAGAGGACGACGGAAGACAGGAGGGCCTGGCGGGAACTGGTCCATGGGGTCGCGAAGAGTCGGACTCGACTGTGCGACTGAACAACAAAATATATATCTATAGATATATCTCCTGTAAAATCCTTTAGTATATGTTTTTTCTTATCTAAAGGACTGGTGAAATACTTCATATTGCATGTTAACTTACAGCAATTACAATTTCCACAGGGAAAATGTCCCTGGGGAAGAATAGTGCCTGATAAAACTCCTTGATGACTAACGGATTTATGAGTGTTACTATGAACTAGATCAGGGGTCTCCAACATGGCCATGTTGTCCAACAGCACCTTTCCTGGTACCCAACCAGTGTTTTTAGAACATGGGAGGGACAAAATGTGGCTTTTGCCCAGCAGGGCTTCTGATTGGCCAAGAGCCAGTTTGATGTAGTGGTTAAGAGCAGTGGACTCTAATCTGGGAGAACTGGGTTCGATTCCCTACTCCTCCACAGGCAGCTGCTTGGGTCAGTCACAAGTTCTCTCAGAGCTGTTCTCTCATGAGCAGTTCTCTCAGAGCTCTCTCAGCCCCCCTTCCTCACGGGGTGTCTGTTGTGGGGAGGGGAAGAGAAAGGAGATTGTAAACCGCTCTGAGACTCCTTTGAGTAGTGAAGGGCCGGGTATAAATCCAATCTCTGCAGCTGCTGCCGCCGCCTCTTCTTCTTCTTCTTTTTCTTCTTCTTCTTCTTCACCTTACTCTTTGACATTGTGTGGTTGGCTTCGTCTTGTGTGGCAGCCATTTTGTGGTTGCACCCACCACCCTGTGTCATAATTCCAGACATGCTCACAGGCTCAAAAAGGTTGGGGATCCTTGAACTAGATATTCCCTCAAATTCTTAGTTCTCTTAAAAGCAATCATGGGTTTCTTCTCACATGAGGATGCTCTCTAGCAAATACCATTTTTTAACAAATATTCTTTAGATTCACACTTACATTGTTATAAGACTACATATAATCCTATCACATTCAATTTTCCCTTTCTTCATGAGTAATTTCTTCTTATCTGCTGTCAAAGCTTTTAAATAAGCAGACTATAAAAAGCAAATTGGATAGCCCATAGTAGCTAAATTGAGCTTAAGAAAGGAAGTTTCTCTTTTGAAAGTCATAAATATTTAAGAAATTTCTTATGAGTCATACGAATTGGCTAAATGGTAAATTATTCCTAATATGTTTAGGGTGGTGACTGATATATCTCAAAAGGCAATTTTTATCTTTTGGTTTTTTTAAAAAAAATAAAGATTCGTATAGAATTAAGCATCTATATACTAATAGCGAAGTCGCCCCCGTGCGTGCGGATACCTAAATCCGCGCATCGGGGGCACCTGGGGGAGAGGGAGATTTTTGTGCACACTTGGGGCAGTCCCCAGGTGTGCACAAAAATCTAAAAACCTGGAAAAAATACCGGGGGGATACTTAAATCCCCCCAAAAGTGACAAAGCGTCCCCCGCGCATGCGCAGGGGATGCTCTGCGAACTCCCTCGCCGCCGCCGCCGCTTGGGGGGGGAAGAGAGCAGCGCCTCGCTTCGAAGCGGGGTGGAAGGCAAGGGGGGAGCTCGAGCGGCGGTGGTGGTGGAGGAGACGGGGGAGGAACTGGCAGGATGGGGGGAACTTACCTCCTCCTGCTGCTTCCTCCTCTGCCTCCTGTGTGGAGGTCCCTCCCCCCGCGAGTATCGCGGGTCCCGCCCCTTGTATTCCCATAAGACCATGACATCTAAAAATTAATTTTCTTGTCATGCACATGGAGGTCAAATTCTTCTAATGGTGGCATCTTCCACCCTCACAAGGAGGCTTGCTCTATCAGCAGAAGGTTTCTGTTAGCAGAACAGATCCATGAGGTCCAAATGGGGGGGGGGGCTAAAACATCACTCAAAATCATCACTAACTGGAAGCTAATCAAAGTGGTAATCTTTTGGGGTGGTTGGGGTCTCCTTCTTTCGAGGTTTTCAAGCAGCGGCTAGATGGCCATTTGACAGCAATGCTGATTCTGTGAACTTTAGGCAGATCGTGAGAGGGAGGGCTGGAAGGGCTGCATCAGTGCTTAGTTCTTGTGGCCCTTTCTTAAACACTGCAAATCGCCACTTGAGGATCAGGAAGCAATTTTTCTCCAGGCCAGTTTGACCAGCAGAGTTGCCAGGCACCAAGGACACACCAGCAGGGGATGGGAAGGAGGGGTCTAGGAGGAGGTAGGGTTCTGCCTCCAAAGAGTGACATTGCACGGTGACATCCCCTACACCAGTGGTGGCAAACCTATGGCACGGGTGCCAGAGGTGGCACTCAGAGCCCTCTCTGTGGGCACGCGTTCCATCGCTCCAGCCAGGCCCAGACCGTCATTAAAGTGTGGAATTCTTTGCCAAATAATTTTAAGTCAATGAAAGAATTTGGGATTGCTTTCCTTACTTTGTTTAGATCATCTTAAGTTAATGTATGAGTTGTTTTTTCTAAAGTAAAACCTCAGCATTCAGGTTAAATTGCCATGTTGGCACTTCGCAATAAATAAGTGGGGTTTGGATCGCAGTTAGGGCACTCGGTCTCTAAAAGGCTCTCCATCACTGCCCTACACAATGATGTCACATGGAAGTGACATCATCATTTTTTGTTTTTTGTTTTTTTGTGTGCCCAATCTGGGCAAGTAAAAAAAAACATCATCATGTTGGGGACATCGCACGGCGATGCTCTAGTTTGTGCAAAACTTTATGGTTATACCATAGAGTTTTGCTCTCTTTTGCCCTTAAACCCAACGTGATGACGTCACTTCTGCATGACATCGCATCAGGGATGTCGCCATGAGATGTCCCTGTTTTGGGGCAGGATTTCGCTTGCCAGTCAGCCTGAACAATTGGGGGAACCCCCGCCCGGACTGGGGGTCTGGCAACCCCATTGGCCAGGGATCGTGGAGGGCGTTTTTGCCATCTTCTGGGCATGGAGCAGGGGTCACTGAGGGTGTGGAGGGGAGGTAGTTGTGAATTTCCTGCATTGTGCAGGTGGTTGGAAGAGATGACCCCGGAGGTCCCTTCCAACTCTCTATGAGCTGCGAACCCTTTCTTGGCAGTAACCACCTGATTCTTCCCCTTGGCAGCTTTCATCTCCAGACGTGACAGTGCAGCAATTGTGAAGAGACAGCCAGGGAGTCCTCAAGGGTAAGTGTCAGCATGCAACATCCTAAGGGGGGGGGGAGGGCTCTCCAGTAAATTTGAAGACGGTTCCAGCAGTCCCCAAATATTGGACCTCAGAGAGCTGAAAGCCAGCCAGATCCCAAGAGCAGCAGGGATCCCAAAGGCAGCTATTCAGAGGATTGCTGAGAAAAAGCTCTCCAGCACTGTTCAGTTAGGGGGTGTAGTCTGGGAAGAACTGGCAGCCAGAAATAAATTGGTAGCCAGAAAAAAGGAAGGTTAACACACATTTGAATACTTGCATATTTTTGCAAGAGAACGAAGAGAAATACGGACAAAGAGAAACATGGCAAGCAACAAGAAATCCCTTTTCTCCATTGTGAGCACTACCTGTATACATAAAAGGGTAAAGGTAAAGGTTCCCTTGCTCGAAAGCCAGTCAAATCCGACTCTAGGGTTGCGGTGCTCATCTCCATTTCAAAGCCGAAGAGCCAGCACTGTCCGAAGACGTTTCCGTGGTCATGTGGCTGGCATGACTAAACACCAAGGCGCACGGAACACTGTTACCTTCCCACCGAAGTGGTACCTATTTATCTACTTGCAATTTCTTGCTTTCGAACTGCTAGGTTGGCAGGAGCTGGAACTAGAGACAGGAGCTTACTCCATCATGCGGCACCCGGGTCTCGAACTGCTGAACTACTGACCTTCCACAGCCTGCAGTTCAGCGTCTTAACCACTTGAGCCACCGCAGCTCCTTTTATACATAAAAACCAAGTCCCAATAGTCCGTCACAGTGCAGTGTGACTCCGCGGTCCAGAATATGGGAGGGGACTACGGTGATGAAGGGGCAGGAATAGGCAGCTAGGAGCAGGCTTGATTCTCAGTGTCACCAGAAAACCAATTTGGCTTCCACCCCAATGCAGCCCTTACTGCCCCCGCTCCTTCATTCTCTGGTCCCCATTCACTCCTGTGGGGAAAAGTTAAAACACAGAACTGGACATTTGTGCACATTCAGTCCGCGCGCGGCACAGTTTCTCAGCGAATGTTTTCCTAATCGGGTGTCAGCCCCACTGGCAGTTAAGAGAAGACCGACTCACCACCAATGTTCCCTCTAAGCTGTGGAGTCTTGTGAGCAAAAACTCTACTTTGTGAGCTACTGCCATTAAAGTTGTGAGCGAGCGATTTGGCTGCTGCATAAATTGGTTTGCTCTGGAGCCCTCCTTCCTGAGCGGAGACAAAAATGTGTGAGCCAGAGGCTAAAAAACTGTGAGCTAGCTCACAGTAACTCAGCTTAGAGGGAACACTGCTCACCACACTCCTGCTCTCCTGTAGGGCCGCTGCCGTTGCAGTTCCAGATGTTGCCTCACCCCTTGAAAGTCATCGAGAGATCTGTGAGCTGAGCGTCGCCTGTGACGAACTGGCTGACCAGATTGGCTTCGAAGAAGCTTACCGCCGATTCTATGGACCGGTGTAGACCAGCTGCATCCAGCTCCATGGGGAACTAGAAGAAGGGCCGGCTCCAGGAACCAGCAACCGAGCTGATCTTCTAGGGGTTATTCTGTCCATTCTGCATTTCTCAGATCCAGCGCTGTCCATGCTGTGGGTCGCCCCCAAAAGTCTTCTGCTTTTAACTGCCCTAGCCTTTGCTTCCTAACTGCTGCTGCAATGTGTTTAATATTGATGTTCCTATAAAGGAGAGACTGGAAATAAATAAAACTCTATTAGAAACACGTTTTCCTTTCATTGGGCTGAACAAATGGCTCCAGTTAACGTATTTGGTTTATTTAGAGCCCACCTTTCTTGCTAAGACGCAAGGCAGGTTTCAGAATAAAAGCAATGTATTCCTATAGCATAAGATATCCGATGAGCGATGCGCCAGTGCAGGATCAAAAGGAGAAGATGAACAACAAGCTGCCTAAGGCAGAGATCCCCAACATGGGGCCTTTCCAGGCACCTGCCAAGTGTTTTCAGAAAGTGGGCGGGGCCAGGTGAGGCATTTGCCCAGCAGGGCTCCCAATTGGCTGTGCAGATTTTTTTGAACAGTTGCTTCAGTAGCGGCTGCTCACCACAGCACGAAAAGCTTCACTGCATGACTGAAGGTAAGCTGTATGTAAGCAAGGGAATGTTTTAAAACAATATGCTCGTTTTAGAAAGCATCCTGTTAAACACAGCTTCTGCCTGAAATGTAGAAAAGTTAGAGTTATACACGAGCTCACTCCCCACCGTTTTGTGACTGGCTGTGCCTCTTGTGGCAGCCGTTCTGTGGTTGCATTCACTACCCTGTGCCAGAATTCCAAAGGTGCCTGCAGCCCGTAACAGGCCGGGGACCTGTAGCTGAGACAAGGTATGCTATAAACAGTGGAATGAGTGGAACTACGAAGGTAGAAGACAATGCAGTAAAAGTAGGATAAAACCCCTAGAGTAATCATTTCAGTTGTTGCAGTGGAACAGGCCTGCTTCAGCCCTGCTTCACCATGCCCTCCAAGGTTTTCCAAACAACTGGAGAGGCTTTTCTTTCTCTCTTGGGTAACCACTGCCACCACTTGACCTTTGTACAAAATTGCCTTCCAAATTCTGCGGCCTTGCCTCTCCATCTCCTGCTGCCAACGCCTAGTCACCACAGGGACCATTTACTGCCTTGTGCGCCCCCGGAGGAATAGCCCCTTGCCAACTAATTGCCTTCCCCCTGGCGCGCCTTTTATAATAGTGTGTCCAAGATGGTCGAGGTCTATGTGGTACAGAGAACCACTCCCAGCATCAAAAGTTATAAAGTATTTATTAAAGACAAAATGTTCACTAACATACTTTTAGCACAGCACCAGACTGAGCAAGGCATTCCAAAGAAATGGATAAAATGCAGTTCTTCTTTCCCTCTCTCAATACATGTCCAATAAGATGTTAAAATATAGAACTGGCTCCTTAGCTTAGGAAGTTACAGATCTCTTCAGAGCAGCCATTATCTTGAAGCTTTCTCCAGCTCTTCAGGCCAGCACATCATTAATGGCTGCCTCCTGCAGACCTCAGTTAAGAGTTCTGCCTGCTCTGCTGGATCCAGCACAAAAGAGACCTTGTTCCCCTGTGTTTTATCACTTCTCTTTTCCCCATCCACTGACCAGGTCAGGCTGGGTTAGAGAAACTTTTCCTGGAGATTCTTCCTCGAGTTCCTTCCTGAAGTCTCTCTAGTATTTAATACCTCCAAAGTCTCTGTTTCCTGCTTGAAGGGGAGGGTGAGCTTGACCATCCCATTGTCTATACCAGTGATGGCGAACCTTTTAGAGACCGAGTGCCCAAACTGCAACCCAAAACCCACTTATTTATCGCAAAGTGCCAACACGGCAATTTAACCTGAATACTGAGGTTTTACTTTAGAAAAAAACAACTCATACATTAACTTAAGATGATCCAAAGTAAGGAAAGCAATCCCAATGCTTTCATTTACTTAAAATTATTTGGCAGAGAATTCCACACTTTAATGACGGTCTGGGCCTGGCTGAGGCGACGGCACGTGTGCCCACAGAGAGGGCTCTGAGTGCCAACTCTGGCACCCGTACCATAGGTTCGCCACCACTGGTCTATACTTATTAGCATTTGTATGAAGGTGAGCTGAGGTAAATCTGGAAAGCAATTGAACTGATTCCTTCCTCTTCCTGCCTGTTTTCTGCCCACAGGGGTGGGGGGGACTTTTAAAACTCAGAGTGAAGGTTTTGCTCATTTCAAATCTCCAAAGGAAAAAAAGGGCCTTTCTTCACAGTTGTCTACAGTCCTATTCCCTTATAAAGGCCTGAAGCTCTCCTGAATGGCTTTATTCTGCTGCAGTTCTAATCCCTTTATTTTAAAAAAGGCCCTCTTGAACATTCCTGTTTTGCACATGCTGTGGAATGGCAGAAGTGTGGGGGCCTTACCGACCTCCTCGGGCAGGTCATTCCACAAAGGGGAAGCCACCATAGAGAATACATCAATGGGTACTTGCCAGTCTTACCCATTTGGAGGGTGGTTCCTTCAGAAGCCTTTCCTCGTACGAGCAAAGATTTGGCCGTGGAGCACAGCACAGAAATACAGAGTTGGGGGGGGGAATAAAGAAAAAAGCCGTACCATGAGCCTAGCATAGTGCATGGCGTTTCTCTGTTTCGCACTGTGTTAAGAGATGAACTCTCCTTAGAAGCTAAAATGACCAAACTGAGGCTATTGTACTGTGGTCACATTATGAGAAGACGAAAGTCACTAGAAAAGACAACAATGCTGGGAACAGAGGAAGGCAGCAGGGAAAGAGGACGCCCCCCGTTTGCAAGGCCTGAGCAAGGCTGTTAACAATAAATTTTGTAGGTCATTAATTCCATTAATTCATAGAGTCACCATAAGCTGGAAGGGACTTGATGGCACTTAGCACAGGAGGTGTTGGGCAAAGGGGTGTGGCTCAGTGGCTGAGCATCAGCTTTGCATGCAGAAGGTCCCACGTTCCATCCCCAGCATCTCCTGTTAAAAAGGTCAGGTGGTAGATAATGCCAGAGGCCCCGGTCACACGAAAGGTTTTGGGCCGGGAGAGGGACGGATTGGGGGTGCAGCAAATGGGCGCGATCCCACTGCAACATCTGGGAAACGTTGCGCACCCGTCCCCGATCCGGCCCTTCAGGCGGAAAAGCCAATACTAAAATAAACCACCTACAGAGGTGGACTTACCAGCACGGCCGCATCAAGCGCGGCCGTGGGATCGCCGGTGCGTCCTTCTGCCGGCGCATCCAAGACCACTGGCTGAACTGCGCATGCTCACACATGGGCAGTTCGGTAGCCTCCGTCTCTGTCTCGTCGCTTTCTCCCTGGTCTCCCCGGCATCTGATCGTGTCGCAGAGCAACTGCGCAGTGGCTCACAGGATCTGTATGATCCCGCCGCCACGTGTCTATTTCGGTGCGGCTTTCAAAAGCCGCACTTTGCCCGCCCCCCCACCTCGTGTGGCAGGGACCAGAGTAGTTAGTACTAGACAGGCCAAGAGTATAAGGCAGCTTCATGTGACCGCTTGGGTGGTGGTGGTTGGCTGGATTGCCCTGATTTCACAGAAAGGGGAAGCTGAAAGAAACAACTACAGTTGTGATTGGCTGACTTGTGTAGATGTTAGAGAAAGGCAGCTGCAATCGCTAAGGAAAGGGAGGAGAAGGCATCTAGGAAGAAGCAGTTATCAAGGGCAGAGGCATGGAAGCAGGAGGATGGTAACTGCTAACATAGACAGTGCGTACTGATAAAGAATGTAGTTTGTTTAGATAGTTTCCAGCATTCTGTGGCACTACAAAGTGGCTGAGTCTTCCAGAGCAATGTTTCCCAACCTGTGGGTCAGGACTCAAAAGTGGGTTGCAAAGCTTCTGAAAGTGGGTCGCAGGCCAGCCCTCCCTAATGGCCGCCCCTGTCCTTTCCATGGCTCTCTTTCGTATTTTGGAAACCAAGATCTGGTCCTGGAAACAGTTGTCTTCCATGCCATACATTAGATGGTATTTTTTATTCACTGCACATACATGTTGATCAAGTGAAACGTGTCCTGATGGTTACTAGAGTGAGGTCCCGTTCATACTTGTCGGGAAACGCGTGGGGGAGGCGTGGCTGTTTGCGGCGGCACAGTGTGTCTCGCTGCAAACACGTGCACCTTCATTGGTGCACGCTCCCGGTGCGCTCCAACGACGCAAGAGGAGCACGCTGGAGCGATCACACAAGGAGAGTCCGGCAGCGGCCATCACAAGCCGTTTGCTAGTGGACTTTCGGAGGTAGCTTTTTACTATGCATCTTTGGCCAGCTGCGACAGGTGCACTACGCTGGCCAGATGTTGCTGTGTGATCGTGCCTTTATAATCCGCCCGGCATTCGTGCCGCTTCCGCGGCAACTTCTGCGTCTGATCGGAGCCAATGTTTCTTAGAATCACAGGGGAGATGAGAACCGCCTTGAGCCGGTTCTCTGGCAAGACGGGATACAAATTGAAAATAATAAATAAAATAATAAATATAATAAGACGAGAGGGAGTAAAGGAGAAGGAGAGGGTGGTCAAAGGCTGGAGCGTAACCTCCATATGCAAAGGCTGTGTGTGTCAGGATGCCACTTGCTTGGGGTTCATAGTGGGGGGAGGAGGAGGAGACTGGATTTATACCCCACCCTTTACTACCTAAAGGTGTCTCAGAGCGGTTTACAATCTCCTTCCCCTCCCCTCCCCACAACAGACACCCTGTGAGGTAGGTGGGGCTGAGAGAGCTCTTTCAAGAACTGCCCTTGAGAGAACAGCTCTGAAAGGCAGCTGCACCCGTTGTGCGGTGTTGGTTGGTTTCTCAGAAACATCTGTAGAAAATGGAATGGTGAACTAGATGGGTGCCATGGTCATTGTTTGCCTGGGGCACCCAAAAACCTTGGGCCAGCTCTAGATGGGTCACCATAACAAGTTAATTTGCACTGGCGAGTCACCAGACCGAAAAGGTTGGGAATGGGAACCATTGTCTCATCTAATGATCTTGTTGGAAGGTAGCCCTCTGGAGGTAGTCCCAACTTTCATGGTATCTTCAAAGACGGCAGATGAGCACAAAGTTCAATTAGTCTAAACCCCACTCTGTTACTGAAGGCAGATGTTCATGCCTTGAACCGATATCCTCACCATCCGTAGTTAACCCACTGAAGGTGTCACAAGGTGTTTCCTTGTTTGGTCAGGTTTCAATT